GCAGTCTTCCCTGGGCACTTGAGCCAGGTGCTCCAGGTATGTCTCTTGTATGGGTATGAGTTGTGTGTTCCCTCCTATTATAGTTGAGACTTGCTTATTGTTTGCACATCAGTGGGAGAGATTGACATTTGGGCTGATTGGTTGTGAAAAATTGCCATGATCAGTAGAGGAGCGGTTGTGCAGGGGCTGACCCTACAGAGCAGGATTCGCTTCAGCAGGGCTCTGGTGCCTGCTCTGCCTGCCCTTTCGGTGTGTCGTCCTCAGATTTGACCCCAGGTGGTACTCTGGTTCAGAACAAAGCCAGCCACTGGGCCTGCAGGCTGGGGCCTCATGGGAGGGGCCCTGCAGCAGACAGAGTTCAGCTGCAGGTTGTGTACTCCTCAGGGCCACCCCTCCTACACCAGCAAGCATTCCACAGATGGCCACCACCCATGCTGAGCTTGAAAGTGCCTTGAGAGGCAAAGCTGCGATCTGAGTCCAGCTGCCACTAATTCCAGGCTTGGGGCTGCTCAGCAAGAGGTATAGGGCACGCTGAGGACAGATGCTGCTTGTTTAGGTTTTGTGAACCTTTGAGAGTTTTTAGGAAAGTTCGCAGTATGAGCCAAGACAGGCTATTTGTGTGGAAAAGCCACGGGAATGGCTTCAGTAGGCCTGTAATTTGGGAGGGGCAGGTCTCAGGGAATCACCAGGGTAAGGCAACCAGTGTTAGTTACTTTGATGGAGACTCAGACATGGCAACCACCTTGGTCCGTAAGCCAGGTGAGGGAGTGCGCAACAAAGGAACAATGCCATCTACCAGCACTTATGTCTGGGAGAAATCTGCCCCTCTATCCCTCACCCTGAAGCCAGACAACTCTGTTCCTCCCCATATGTCCCTGGTACATTTCAAGCTGCTACACTAGAGCTGGAGCTCAGAACTAGTGAGTCTGTCACTGATAAAGTCCATGTGCGGACCCCTTAAGAATCTGCGACTCCCTCAGCTCTCCATCTCACTCAGCCACTATCTCTGCTGGTTTTCACAGCCAGAAGTTGTGGGGACTTCTCTTCTTCTTGGTACTAGAACCCTGGCCTGGAGAACCTGGTGTGGCACCGGGACCCCTCACTCTTGCAGGGGACCTCCACAGCCTAGTTGTTTCTCCCCATTCTCCAGCACCACACACAGGTGTGGGACCTGCCCATTTTTTGTCTCTGTCCCTCCTACTGGTCTCAACGTGGCCTCTTCTGTGTGTCCCCAGTTGTACAACTTCTGTTCAGCTAGACTTCAGGTGACTCCCAGTGACGGCTATTCTGTAGTTTAGTTGTAATTTTTAATGTGGTTGTGAGAGTAGGCAAGCAGTATTTACCTACTCCGCCATCTTGACTGCTAACCTCAAAATTTTTACTAAAATATTGATCTCATAAAATGTTTATAGTAAGCCAGAAAACCGGAAAGATCCCAATATACCTATCCCATCTGGGACCAAGGTTTAAATCTGTCTATACATAAAGATCTGGATTATCTCTATACAATACAACATCAATCTCTAAATGTTGAATATGGCATGTTATTTATGTAATTAATAATCAATGGTTTCCAAACTCTTTTGACCATGGCACTCAGTAAAATTTATTTTAAGTTGTAATAGAGCATACACATACATTTTCCAGTGTATGTGTACAGAAATAAGTAACATGTATCCTGACTGTGTATAAAACACTATTTTCTATCTCAATGTTTTTAAAAATTGTTGTCACCAACCACTAAGATTAATTCCCAATCTATTAATGAGTGGTTAATTTGAAAAACACTGATTTTGAAGAGTGATTTTCAAAACTAAGAAATTTTTTAGTCTACCAGAAGATTCCCAACTTCCCATGGGGTAGAGATAGGGTAGTGACAAATTAAATACATCCATTCCTTTAAAAGTTATGAAATACTTCAGAGATACTTCATGAAACCCTTAGACTCCATATAATAAAGCTGAAAACCACTGACATACATTTTCACTGAGACATCATGAAAACATAAGCCTAGATATTTCTTTTGCTCATAATTTCAAAAAAAAATCATTCCAGCAAAAGCATATATACCAAGTTTTCTAAGGAGTGGTATTACATTATATAATAATAGTGACCAGAAATAGTTCTAAGTTGCTAATCTGCTACTGGGAAATATTAGGCATTAAGGCAGAATCAAGCTGGTAATTCTAAATTTATGAGCTCAATATTCCAATTTTAAATCACTTATAAGTTAAATTTAAATAAATTTAAGTAATTTTTCTTCAAGCAAAATAAGAAAATTACATAATTCATTATGCTGCCATTCTTTTGAGAATATATTTTGAAAACCTATCTAAATATATAAAGTAGAATAAATCTTTATACTCTAAACCGAGGGTCCATAACCCCCAGACCATGGACCAGTACCAGTCTGTGGCCTGTTAGGAACTGGGCTGCACAGCAGGAGGTGAGTGGCCAGTGAGCAAGTGAAGCTTCTTCTGAATTTGTAGCCCCTCCCCAGCACTAGCATCACTACTTCAGCTCCACCTCAGATCATCAGGCATTAGATTCTCATAGGAGCACTGGTCCCCAGTGCCAAAAAGGTTGGGGACCACTGCACTACACTATACTCTCTGGAGGCAAAATAAACACAAAATTTAATAATATGATTTTTAAGCCAATTATTAGTTTCAGTATTTTGCATAATTTATTATCTTTAGATAAATTCTACAGTCCTAAAATAATTGTAGCCTACTAGACTGACAAATGGGTAGGTTACACCAGAGCCTAGTGTTTCTAATATTACCTAAGAATGTATACGGACATGTATTTTTCTATTCGAAGACCAAAGCTGAACGCTGTGTCTATGCATAAACACAAACACAAGACTCTCTGTACAAATAAAAAAGGTTCCACTCGTGTGTATATGCACATGTGTGTGCATATATACAAGTCAAAATCAAAAGTCAAAATCTTAAACATAAAACATAAAGTCATGCAAATTTCCACATTTCTGGTGTCAAATAGCACAAATGATAGAGTCACTGATAAGATGCACACTGTCAAAAAATAAGTTTTTTTTAAATAAAAAGTTACTTAAAAGTGCAACTCAAAAATGTTTAGGTTAATGAGCTAGTTAAAAGTAAACACAGATAAGCATAAAGGGATTGTCTGTTATTAATAGGTAACACATCTATTGCATAGAAGTGCTGTGAGAATGAAATTTATAAAAAGCACTTATAACAGAGCCTAACATAGTGTCTAAGCACTAAACTTAAGTGTTATTTAGTAGCAGTAGTCAACTTAAATGTCTTTTATGGCAATAGTATGCAATGTAACCCCAGAAATAATGTTATTCTTGATTGCCTTTTAAAACCTGTTTCTCACTTACTCTCGCATCCTTGTCTCCAACGAAACAAATAACACGGAGAGATGGGACCCATCGTTTAAATTCATTCATCCAGTTGTGTAAAGTAGACTTTGGAACTAAAACCATGTGAGGTCCAGGAATGTTTCGGTAATGTTTCAGGTAACCAAGCAAAGCAATCGTTTGTAAAGTCTTACCAAGACCCTGCATTATCACCACAAAGAAAAAAATCCATGAACACATTTTATTTAATGGAACATTTTGTTAGTAACAACATTACAAAAGATATTTGCCAACTATCTCACATAAGGACAAGTTAAAAGACCTTGTTTTTTAAAGTGAATAATCATTCCAATTCAATACTTATTGTGAACACAAAAAGAAATCAAGAACTTGCAATTAGAAAGTGGCTCAACAAAGCCGCTTTCTATTTGGGAGACTTCTCCTACTAAAGAGGCAATCAATCTACTATATAATTTTTTCAACTAGTTGCAAAATTATTAATTTTGAGCATGCATTTCCCAAAGACCCATTTCCTTTACCAGACTACTTTAAACATCAGTCTTTCTTTCCTGTTGTCCCCAACATTACTACAGCCCAGGCATGAAATATTCAGACTATGCATCTCAAGGGGCATATGGTTCTATATATGCATCTCACACCCTTGAAGACTAAAGGAACTGAAAAAGAACAGAACATAAAAGAACTTTGCAGCTGGAAAGAACATTAGAGATTACCTAGTCCAGTAGACTTTTTAAAATAATATATTTAACATCAATGAACAAAAACCACCTAACCCATAGGAAAGGGAACAATGTCCTATGCTGCATTGCCTTTTAAAACAGTTTCTGGCTTTATCTCTATGCAAGGTATATATTTTCTTTCATAAACCAAACTTAAAACTATTTTTATAGGGTTTATCCTTCTGAAATGTCACTTAATGAGACAGGTTTTACGGATGCTATGCAGCAAAAGTTTAAAATGTTAATACTCCTTAACCAAGTAATTCCACTTCTAGGAATTCTATGGAAATAATCTGAGAGATGCAGAATAACTAAAATACAAGAATTCTCATAATAGCATTATTATATACCACATATACTATATATATATATATATACATACACGTACACATCAACCAATACATACTATATATACCTGCAATATATACTATACATACATATACACTGTACATCAACCAATCCAAATGACCAGCAATAAGGGAGGAGATGAATAAAATTATAGTACCTCCCTAAGATTAAATATTATGTAGTAATTAACAATTTTTTTACAAAATTATTTTAAGTATGTGAAAAATATGAATATGAAATCAGAATACCCAATTATATATGCAATGATCTCAACTATGCAAAATAAATACATTTGAAGGAAAAAGAATAAAAAGAAATATGCCCAAATGTTAACTGTGGTTACTTCCAGGTAACAGAATTATAACTTAGTTTTGATTATGTATTTTTTTTCCAAATTTTCTATATTCCTTAAAGTATTTTCCCCTTTTTAGTAATTAAATCTCGTCTGATGTCAGCATAAATTCAATATGAAGGATCTTTTGATCCTTCGTGTTTAGACAGGCTGCAACCAAAAGGAGTCTTATAAATATGAGTATCACTGGGTCATATAGATCTAGAACTCCTCCAGCCCTCTCTTAAATCCCATCTTAGTCATCTGGCCTGAAAACAACAATCTAGGCCTTGGTATACTCCCCTGATCTGCTGAAGTAGCATCTTAAATAGCCTTCCTTTTTCTCTTTGATCTTTTTCTTTATATACCATTACTTGGCTTACTTCCTAACCCCCACACCTGGCATTCAACTGTCAAGACTCAATGTTGCTCTTTACTGTTTTGTTCTTTATTCCATCTATTCATTTTCTGATTGCTCATATATGAAGACATTTATATTCACTCACACCTGCATTCAACTGTTCGTTTGATTTATTCATTCATTCATTTGGTGTTTAATTTATATACCCCAACTCATTCTCAAAAAGATTTCCGATAGCCTACAATGAAAACATGTTTCTGGTGTCCTACAATGAAAATATGGAACATAATTAATAGTAAAATAGAAATAAAGAAGGACCAAGGAAAGTAAGACCAGAAGGAAAAGAATAGGAAAAAGCACAAAGGACACAATGAGCAGACCATTAAAAGTTATATAGATGCTCCATTCTGATGTTCATTTTGGCTCTAAGCTTCCTGGAAGCCAGAGTGCAAACACAAACAAAAGTACAAGATTTTTTATACCATTTGAAAAAATCTCAATAAGAACTTTACTTACAGCCAGTGAAAGTATATGTTCTAGAAGTTACTCCAAAAAACAATTCTAGACTTTACAAATGCCTTTTATGTTATAATATCTAAATAAAGGCCTCAGAGGGGCAGTTCAGCTCCGGTTTTCAAACTTAGATAAAAACTGATAACTGAGAATGTGTTTTAGGCTCCCAACTCCTTACCATTTCATCAGCCAAAATACCATTGACTCCATTTTCATACAAAGAAATCAACCAGTTCAGTCCTCGAATCTGGTAATCTCTCAGGGGTCCTCCTTTCACATCTGAAAAAAAAAAATCAGTGATGTCTCATATGTTCATTAATACAATTGAGCAAAATTTTTCTAAAACCAAATTTTAAAAAAACCAACATAATTAAGTACGTACATGAAGGTGACACTTCAAATCTCACACACATATTAGAAGTTTTACGACTCTCCGAGAGTAGCTCTTCATCTTCTTCTTGTTCTGTGCGTCTGTGGCGGTAGCTGAAATGAAAAAAGAAACACCTCCATATTCGACAAAACGCTAAGGTGTCGATTAGGTCAGCATACATTGCTAATATCTTTTATGAAAAAGCAATGAGTTATCTAGGGTCTTACTTAGAAGTTAGTAGAACCAGCCTACATTTTTACTGGTTGACTGCTAGTGAGAAAAAAAAAAAACTGCCTACAAAACATTTGCACTGACAATAATCTTTTTTTGAACAGAAAATTATACTGAATAAGAAAGAAGAGGTGTACAAGGGGAGGGAGAAAGGGGGACAGGAGGAAGAGAGGAAATGAGAAAAGGAGAGAAGAGAGAGAGATGCCGACATACTCTCCAACATAAATTAAGCTCTGCTTGTCATCTTTCTTTATTCGAGGATGTCCCAATTTCATGTTCAAAGGAGATGTTGGAGATTTCTGTGCTGAAGGTTGAATGAAATGCGCAAAAAGTTCTGTCTGCTTCAGTAAAAATTCAAATCTCTTCGCTCGGTCTGCTTTCTAATTTACAAAACAAAAGTAATGATTTTCTTTTTGTTCATTCAAAGTTATCTAACAAACATTTATATTGTACTTAATTTGTGCTATGTTCTAGGCTTTAAACATACCCATTTAATTCTCTTAATGAACCTATAAGATAGGTACTAGTATTAGCCCCATCTTATGGATGATAAAACTGAGGTAGAAAGTAACTTGCTCAAGCTCCCACAGCTAATAGGTAGCAGAATTTGAAAATGGTATTTGCAACTAGTTTGAATAAATGCCAAGTGATCTGCCAGACTTAGTAAACACCCCAGTAGGAAGTACTCTTTAAAGAGTTGGGATCAAAAAGTAAATCCTCTTTCTAAGCAATAATGGTTTTCTTTTCCTAAACAGTTAACAAAATTATAACATATAATGTACGTAAATATAGAAATATAAGTTATGATATGAATAGCATAAACTGAACTCTTAAGGATTTTCAAGCTGTACCTAGAAATAACTGAAATCTTAGAACAGTCTCATTTGTCTCAAATTATTTTCAATGTCATGGTACAGTAATGAAATAAAAAACATTTCTTCAATTATAGTGATCTGGAAAATTATGCTTTCTGCTAATATTATATGAGTTTCTCCCCAAAGTGAGCAGGATTTGGGGGAAAATATACACACACAAGTGAAATACTGAAAATTGATATAATTTCTGAAGTTTTACAAGGTCATATAACTTGTACCATATAAATGCAACAAAACTTCTTTCACTATAAAATCTTAAAAGATCCAAAGATGTATATACATCATTCTACATTTAAAAAAATGAAGACTTTTTGATTCCCAGTCACTTTCTGACTACCAGGTGTAGGATATTTGATTTCTAATGAAGGATGCATAATTAACAACACCAGAAACTTATAAAAGTTCATTAACATAAGTACAAGAATTAGACAAATATATTCCTACCAGTAGCTGGAAGGAGGCCAAAACCTTTCCATTACATTATCCTTACTGGAATGTTGTTTTTAGAGTTGTTAAAACATTAACTGTCTATGTTAGATGTGGCCTTAAAACATTAAGGAATGGAGTTCTGCAAAATCACTATCAAAAACCAAAAAATGAACTTCGTCTCTATTTATTTTTATAATATTAAAAAAATTCACTTCCACCTACCTGTTAATTTCTTTTTTGAGGTAACCAAATTTGCTAGTGTTGAAAAATCCCAAGGCATAAAAATCTGGTTAAATTAAAGCTAAAATGTGGACTTTAGTGGCTAAAAAATAAAAAATTAAATGTATAGCAAAGCAATAGGTGGGCATGACTAAAATTATACTGCTTAAACATGGAATATTTTCATGTAGTGGGCAAATATCCTTCCCTCAAGAAAACATATTACTATATTACACGTTTCAAAGTGTGTAGCATTCATTCATATATCCAAAGCAAGGAGAGAGGGAGAAAAAAAATCAGTCTGGCTTTGTGACCTGCTTTCTTTCAGCCTATTGATATTGCCACTGATATTTTCACTTAGTGGATAAACTATCTCTAGCACAAAACACCTTATTATGGGGTAAAGAGTGCTGAACAAAAATGAAGAGATGTGGCTTCTAGTCTCAACTATTCCATATAGTTTCTCTGATCTTTTATTTCCTCATCTGAAAATGAGGAGATTCATTTATTCAACAAAAATCTATTCTGATGGATTATATATTAAATTACTTTCCAATTCTGAAATCTATGATCCTGTATTAATTATATATACACACGTATTTTTATTCATATCTCCTCTATAAAAACCCGCTACAATATTCACTGTCCTACCCAAGAATATATTTACCATTTTCTCTTCATATTCTTGGTCCATTTCCTTTTCAGATTTAGAAGCTTTAGCAGCAAGTTTGAGCTGAAATGGAGAAACACTTTTCTAGAATTTCAAAGAAAATTCATCAAATTGCAATGCAAGGTCTTGAAAGTGGTCAACATTCTCATTTGAAGAAAGTAAAAAGTAATTAAATACTAAATAAATCAACATGGGCCATGCATGGACCATTGATGAGAGCATGTTATGAAGCAAGGCTTATGATTAATCCAGCTCTGTACACTAATAAAAAAAAATCCAAAGAATTATGAAAGCCAAAGAGACAACATTAATTGAATTAAAAACAAAAAGAAACATTGAGCTTTTTCATCTATTTTTTAATTTAAAGCATAAGGAAGTGTGTAACCATTGAATAGATTTAAAATCTAAAATACACTAATATTATCAACTATAACCCAAATAGTTCAAGGAAAGTAAATACTAATACTCAGAAACACCTTAATGTAATGGAAACAAGTCAGAGTTTCAGAAGAATGTGGTTTCTATTCCTGAAAAGATACAATTTTTTAAATTTTCTCATATTCTAATTAGGACATTTAAACTTTTTGTAACACAATGTAATCATTTATATTTAAAATAACAACAGTATAGTTTCGAACTTTTGGCTTATGTTAATTTTCTCCAACTGGGAAGAAAAGTATTTTAACTATATTACATAAATATTTTATAGAAGCAGTTTGTCAGGGTTATTAAAACTATTAACCTTTTGGTATTTAAAAAGTTGTAATTTAGTGAAAACTAACAAATCAGCTACTTAAAAATACTGAAATTATCTGGGGGCTTATTTCAAGACAAACTTGTACTTGTAAATATAAATAGGTATATAGAATGCAAGTCCTTCCCTGTAAGAAATAAAGAAATATAATAGTAAAAACACAAATCTACCCATTAGTACCAAAACTGAGAGTATTTGTTTTAACATAGATTTTGCACAAGCCAAATGCAAATCTCTTTTTGAAAACTAAAGAAATTATGTCTATTTTATCGGGGCTTTTGTCAAGTCAACCTATTCTTGAAAACTTAGATCGTATAAATCAACAGAATGTGATTTTAAACAAAGAAAAGCATGGCTCCAATAGTTAATGTAGATACCTTCCAACATTTACTAAAATTTGTATTTTGAGGAAATCCAAACTAAGATCATGGAATTTGACCATGGTCAGGGTGCTACTTTGGAGCACTAATCAGATATTGTTCAGTTGTTCTTAACCCAAATAACAGCCATCTTGATTTATAGCATCTCTTATGCATACATAATCCACGTGGGATGTTTTGAATGTAATCGTGGATGGATGAGAATAGAAAACTGCTAAAATCCCCTCAATCCCACACTTTCAAACTGTAATATATACTATAAATACTATTTTATTTTCAAAGCAACAAGTAAAGGAAAATTGGGTAACAACACCCACACCTTTATCATTCACTGAGCTATATGAAGTCTAGTTTTCAAGTTTCAAAACAGTGAAAATTACTTCATCTCATCTACATAAGTATATATCTAATAATGTGAGACTTAGAGAAAATTAAAGCTTTAATATTAGAAAAACATTTTACTCCTTACTTTTTTGCTTACCTTTTGATAAAATACCATAAAATTTTAATTATATGCTAATTAAAATTCCTAATCTTGAGCAGTGTTATTAAAAGCTATGGGTAATTACTTAATTGGCACTACCTTCTACAAGACATTTTAAACCTACCCTCTAAACCTTTTCATTTGTATGAGTATACATTTTCAAAAATATGCTTCTCATACCAGAAAAGATAAAAGATAATTATGATATTCTAATAAATTCCTTATGGATTTTATCATCTGGTAATCTAGATGCTATGAGAATGTAGCACAAGGTCATCAAGATGCCGTCTTAAAGACTGCGACCTTTTCCGTGATGTTTTTACTACCAAAAATACCAACTCATTTTTTAGATAACCTTACAGCATTAGGTTATCCAACAATCACAAACCAAATAAGTCTAAGAACCAGAAAGTAAGCAAAAGTACCTTTGTGTAGCTAAATGTCACAACTCAACCCATTAAATCTCATCTACTTTATGCATCATGAAAATGCTCTCATTCAGTGCCAATTTTCTTTTATTTGATATACCATTCTAGCAAGTTTGATAATCTGGGTTCCCATATTACAGAAAATAAAAGCAGCAGCAGCAAATAACATGAGAAAGACCACTAGAAGGCACACATCAACAGCAAGAAGGAATGGCAGAAGCCCCAGACTAAAATGTGAGTTCCATTGCAACTAATATCCCTTCTCCTTGGTGTTCAGGTGTAATTATTCCCTCTCTCTGTTGCATCACTTGTATTTTTGTATTTTACAGTTGTATTATATGATTTTATGGTCCTGTTCCATTTATGTCCTTTATCATAAACAAATTCTCTCTGATGAAAGTAGATGGGATATTTAAAAAGTGATAGCCAAGAGCCTGACAATTGAGGAGACTGAGAAATTATTTAAAAATCAACACAATAAAGGAAGTCTCTGTGAGGTAGTTGAGGAAAAACAACCTCCTGGATCTGAAATAACCTTTGTATAACTGTCAAGAGTACAATAATTGATGGACATGAAGAAAAGGTAAATCTGTACTTTTAGTACACCATTTAAGGAGTCAAGGTAGTATATAATATATTTAGTTTTCTTGGGTGGGGGGGACCAAATTACTTTATTTGAAGGAATGGTATAAATAAAAAAAAAAACCACTTTAGATGATTTGGTACTATTTAGATTTTAAAGGAAAAATTAAAAATTAAAAAATGTAACGATTAAAGTAGTAAACTTTAGATATCCAGAAAGTTCCTGTCACCCAGAACCTCATTTCCTTACGCTGAGCAGACAAATCAGGCACTATTAAGGCAATTTCTGATGAGAGTACAGAGTTCATGAATATAGATGTATTAACTCAGTGCTTATTATGTAGGTTTTTTTAATTGATTCCCAGTCTTTTCACTATTCAAAAAATTTGTACAACCAGGACAATCAACAACCTTTACTGCCATACAAAAGATGGTTTAGCACTTATATTTGCCCGCTCTAGGGAATAACAGCACCTAGGCACATTTCTGAATTTCCTCACATCTGATTTATATTAACGCTTGGTATTTTGGCCCAGCTTTACTCATCAATATTGTGCTACTGTACCAAGTACTGCATGGATCTTAATACGCGTATGTTTTTTTTACGGTTTTCACTTAGCCCTACAATTGTCTTTCTGTTTAGTCAACCTTGTAACAGTAAAATATGTCACTTAAGCAACTGCTGAATTTAAAATTACTCTAATTCACGGCAAAAGGTGTTAATTTCCCTCAAAAGCTTTTCATTTAGTCGTATAGTCTCATAATGATTCAGACAAAGCCACTTGAGATCGCTAAAGCATAATTTTAATTACCTGCTTTTTTAATAGTGATGTTTATTCGTAAATGGAAAATCTACCCATAAATGATACGTCTACAATTTTATTACACATCAAAAATCATCATGCCCCATCCTATTTTTCATCTCAATTTTGCAACGCGTTTCATAGTTTTATTTGCATGTCTCAATCCACATGAAATATGCCTTATGGAGATAATACATATTTTCTGGATTTGGCTTTAATAGGTGTCTGAGCGGTCCCCTTACGTACGTTAGTAGCAACTCATCCTGGCGAAGCTGTGTTTAAAAAAAATTTTTTTAAACCTGCATGTGTCCAGGAGCCAGCAGCGCCCACTAGGAACGGGAGGCGGAAGCGTAAAAGACTTGAGGCCGGATTGGGGGACCATTTGGGTGGCCCCAGAGTGAAACACTATACCGTCGGGGGCGGGGCAGGAGATGGTGAGGGTGCACACGTTGGATATTTTCCTAAGCCAACGTTCACGGTTTCTCAGTTTGAGGTTTGAATGGGGGTTGGGGGAGGAAGGGGTACGACGCGGAGAGCTCATTTTCTTGGTGTGACACCCCTGCCTCAGCAGGCGGGGACCCAACGAACAAGGGATTTTTTTTCTGCCGCCCAAAAGGCCGACATTGCCAATCGAAGGAATCAAAGTCTCTCCTACCGTCCTCCGCCTCCCAACCACCGGCACCTTGAGATTCAAATTTTAAAAAATTAGCCCCAGCAAAATCCCTTTTGCGCGAGTGTGGGATTGAAGGGCCCAGATTTCCCAGGCAGAGGCCGACGGGAAGGGGGTGGGGGGAGAGGGAGCGAGAGAAGAGGGAGAGGCGGAGGCTGGTTCCTGCACGGCCCCATCCCCCACCTCGCGCTTTACCCCAGTTCCGGGAATGTGAAGGAGGCTGGGGGCTGTCTAGGGGCCCCCTAGCCCCCGAATAACGGGCATTCTGCACCCCTCGCCATGCCCATGCCCGCGCCCCAGCCCCGCCCCCGTCCTCCAGGCGGCGAGAAGGAAGGGGGAGGGGAACGAATACTAGACTATTCCGCCGCTCCCCCCAACACCGACTCCGCGCGCGCGAAGCCCCCACCCCCGCTGAGCTTGCGGGTACCTGTCGGCGCCGAAAGGTCAGGGTTTGGGCCCCTCCAAGGGGCCCGGCACAGGATTTATCCACCCCACACACACCCCCTTCCGATTTACCTCCTTCTTCTCGCTCTTCGTGGCCACGGTGGCTTCGGTGGCCGCGGCGGCCGCTCCCTCCTCCTTAGAGGTGGACGGCCCCGGCTGCTCGTCCTCTATGACCACAATTGTGGCGGTCGCATCAGCGGCTGCCACGGTGGCTGCCACTGCGGCGGCGTCTTGCTCCATGGCGTTGGAGCGGGAAAGAGGAGAGGGACGAGGAAGGGGATGAGGGCTCCTGGGGCGGCGGCAGTGGCTGCACTGGAAAGAGCTAGATGCAGCAGGGGTGGGGAATCACTCTGCTTCCAACCCCTTCGCTCGGCCCCCCCTTTAAATAACCCTCAACCCTGCCCCACTTCCGTCCACCCACCCTACGTCATGGCCTCCCCATCCCCACCCAGAACCCGAGCTGGCCCCGCACGACCAACTGTTGCCTGAGCATGGGGCACGGACTGGGGTGGAGGCGGGAACCCACAGCCTGCGGCCCCCTACAAATCTCCTTTCCCACACGCCCCCAACAGTCAGCCTGAGCTTCCCTCACAGAAGTGTGCACCAGAAGTCCTCTTTCCTTTAAAATATGCTCTTTGTACCTCACGGCGCTTTCCTCTTCTTGCACAAAGAACTTTTCCTCTGCCTGTAACTGTACTGTAGAAGGTCTTTCTCGCTATTTGCAAAGCCCAGACACCCTACGGGGACTGCCCTCTCCCAGGTCCTAGGGGGATTGGTGGTGCTATTCCCACCTTCGTAAATTCTGAGGAAGGAAAAGCACTCCTTGAATCTCGGTTGTATCTGCATTCACTTACAAGGCAAAGCGTGACTCTTGAGTTTTATGTATATGTACTCTATTTTCAACTCTGATACCTCTCAGACAGCCAAGGTACAAGGGCCCTTCTTTTGCCATCACCACTGAATTTTTAAAATCTTAAGGGACAAGGCCAAGGTCCCCACAGAACCTGGGGCAATTCATGGTAAGTACCTAATATTAGTAATTGGATTGAATTACTGTGATTTTCTTGGTACATGTTCTATTTGTATCCTCGCTATTATTTAGTAGTAATTCAATACCAATAATATGCATGCTAATAGATATAAAAGCATTTCGTAAAGGGTGTGACAGTGTGCAGATGTCAATTAAATATTAACGTTTCTATTTCTGCTTGCCATTTATTTTGATCAACAACGGGAAGATTTACATCCTAGTTTTTAAATTTCAGTCATTAAGGACAAAAGGTAGCAAAACATACAGAAAACAACAAACAATCACACAGAACCTAGTTGCCAAAACAAAGCAGATACTTTCCAAAGTGTACAGAAGTCACGATTAATTTCCCTCAACACACCTTGTTAAATTACCAATCTGAAATCAAGTGGTTTCTGCAAATAGCAGGAAGGCACACAACTGCCCCTAAATATATCCCCTTTTCCTGGGGCTAATACCCTAAATTCCTTTGTGTTTTAAAGTTGTGACTCTTAATATGCAAAACCTTGTGACATTTCAGCTATTATGGGTCATTTGCACCTTTAGCGTAAATGAGTGTAGGGTCCTGTCCAGGGACTGGCTTTAAACAGAGTAAAAGAGGCAAAGAGCATAACACTGGTGATAGAAGGAGTGTACCACTAAGAGAGGAAAGGAGAGGCTGGTGGTGCTAACTAGCTTTCCTCTGATTTTATGTTCTTCTTATTTAGTTTAGATTTTCCCCCCAATGTCCTTCTCATCCTGAAGTACAGATGTGTACTATCCAATAGCTATAGGAAGTATCAGTATAAAAATGGTTCATATTTCTGGAGCATCAACTTTAGTCAAAAAGTGTGTACAACTACTTTGGAAAACAGTATGGAGGTTCCTAAAAAAAAAAACTAAGAATTCATCTACCATATGATCCACCTATCCCTCTACTGGGTATTTTCCCAAAAGACTTGAAAAACCATATCCGAAAAGATATTTGCACACCGATGTTCATAGCAGCATTATCCACAGTGGCCAGGAAATGGAAGCAACCAAAGTGTCCTAGGATAGATGATTGGCTAAAGAAGCTCTGGTACATATATACAATGGAATATTATTCAGCCATTAGAAGAGATAAAATACTGCCATTTGTGACAACATGGATGAACCTGGAGGACATTATGCTCAGCAAAATAAGCCAGAAAGAGAAAGACAAATACTTTATGATCTCTCTTATATGTGGAATTGAAAAATTAACTCTCAGAAGCAGAGTAGAATGGTGATTGCCAGGGGCTAGGAAATAGAGGAAATGGGGAGATAGTGGTCAAAAGGTGCAAATTTTCAGTTAGAAAATGAATAAGTTCTGGGGATCTAATGTATAGTGTGGTATACAGTGTAGTTAATAATACTTTATTGTGTACTTTAAATTTGTTTGGGAGGCGAACACATAATATAAATATATATATGCCTTACTGTTAAAATGTACAGCTGAAACCAGATTTCATTAACCAATGTCACCATAAAATCAATTTTAAAAAAGTGTGATGGAATTAAGTCATTTAACCAATCATTTGAAACACAATTTTTTTCTATTAAAATGTGCAGCCATATTAAGGGATGAGTTGTAGAGTTTGAAATGTCTCCAATTGAAAGCTTGAGACTTCAGTTAGACATCCTACCGCTTCCCCACTACCTGTTCAATCTCCTCAGTCATTAAGGGTTGCTTGATGGGAGAAGTTCTAGAAGCACTGAAAGAGAGGGATCCTGCAATGCATGCATCCACCTGACTTGAGAAGGACCCTTCGAGACAAGGGCAGTGGAGGACTTCTTTTTCACTAAGCTGCAGCTACAGGGGAGGATAGAATTACCTTTTCATTGCCCGAGGCCTCAAAAGGAAGGGCTCAAAAATATTTGTTGTATATTGATGTGTACCTGCTTGCAAGGGGCGTTTGTTCCATTGTAGTTCTCATAGCTAATGTATAGTATTTCAGTTATGTCATAGGCTAAATGCACTTTTGTGAGGAAATCTGGGAAACACATCCCTTTATAACACATTTTCTGTTGGAACATGTGTTCCAAGTTCCAGAAAAAAAAAAGAAATTAGAAATTAATTTGGGGGACAGAACATATTTGTACATTGGCAATTTTCCATGTATGTATAATGTGATCCTTCCATTTCAAGGTGACACAGCTGGAAGTGCTACCAAGTATATGAGTTTGGCTGGAAAGGTCAAGGCTCGGTCCATAGACCTTGCCACAGGATTCATGTAAATATTGCCCTTTGGCTTGTGGCAACAGCTGCTATTTACAGAGCATGTACTATCCTTATTTGCAAATCTGCCTAAAATTCATGATCTGTAGACTTTGTTCAACAAGAGTCACCTCATTTCTGATTCTTCTCAACACCTTGCTCTATCTGCTACTACTTTCCCTTGTTGTCTTTTCATTCGAAATGGTCTTTAATTGCTCTACTCCAGTGAGATTGGAGACCAAGGCAAACCTTTATAGAGAACCTTAGGGCCATATTTGGGAACCTTAAAATGAATCCTAGTCTACTGGGCAATACATCCATTTTGTCAGATTGTGAATATTGTAGAAGTTATCCAATAGTCATTTTTGCATAGCCAAACTTGTTTAGTAGCTACTAGAATGTATGTCCAGTGGTGGTATTAAATACTTTTGTAAAGTTCATAAAGGCAAGATCAAGGGCTTGGTGTTCCTTCTCTTGTCTTGTATTTGAAATTTATCATTGAAACTACAGTATGACTTAAAAGCAAATTGCAATCCCAGTGATCAGTGTTCTTCAGAAGCTGATACAAAGGATTCTGGTCACAGTATCTTGCTTACCACTGTAGAAAACATTCTGTTCACATCAGTAAGCTTTCTCACCATTCTTCTTAAAGACATTTATTATAGTGGCATTTTTGAAAATGTGATATTTCCTTGGTGCTCTGTGTGTTAAGGAAAAAGTAATGGTAATAGCTTGCATACATCTACCATTTTTTGAGCACCCACTATTATGTCAGGCACTGTGCTAGATTCTTTACATATGGTATTGCTAATCCTCCTGGTAATTTTATGAAATAAATGTTATTATTGCTATTTTACAGACCAGAAAACAGAAATTTGGAGAGGCTAAATAATTCATCTAAGTTCCCACAGCTAGTAAGTGATCGAAGCCAGATCCAAATCCCAGACTGTCTGGCTCCAAATCTCATCTTTTCACTTCACCTTTATTAAGTTCTCTGTTATTTATGGGGCTTCTTCCTTGACAGTAGAAGTTGAATTGAGAGACTAACTGAAAAATATTTTGCCATCTTTCTATAAGGTGTTCCCACTGGATTTATGAGGAGACATTGTCACTCCTAAGGCTCTGGTAGTATATATAACCAGATAATTTCTTTAGCTCTACATAGATGTTATTATAAGGTGGAAGTCAGAGAATAATTTGGGATTCTTGCATGCACCCAAAGTAAATTCTTATAATAGTTATAGAACTCAGGACAATTAGAGTGCAGGGAGGAGAAAAACTTAACAGAAGCAACTTAGATGTCCAATAAGAATTGTTTGGCAAAATGTTGTACAGTACATTCATAAGTAAAATACTATGCAGTCATTATGAATGATTTTGTAAATATATATCTGTTGACATGAAAGTGTGCTCCTAATATATTGTTGAGAGAAAAAAGGCAAGCAAGAAAATAGAATGATTCCATTTTTGCGAAAGAAAGAAAGAAACTATTAACATAAACAAATTTCTACAAAGGAAAATGTCTGGAATGTTCTCCTCCAAATATTAACTGCAGTTACATCAAGGTAGTAGAATTATGAATGACTTTTTTCTTATTTTTGCTTTTCTATTACTTTTAATTTTCCTTGAAGATATTTATACTTATATAATAAATAAGTAACGTTTTTAAAGATGATTAAAAAATATTGCTCAAAAATTGATTAATTGAAATAATTCCTAACAGGAGGAATAGGAGCAAGTAGGCAGAGAGAATTCAAAAAAAAAATTTTTACATACTGAAGAGACAATGTAGTTATTCAATGTACAATGTAACAAGAAATATAAATCACTGTGCTATTTACAATGTTACTTGGTTAAGGCAACTGTTTTGACATTGTCATTTTAAGTTGCATGGAAAAGGATTTTCTTTTTTTTATTACGTTTATTCAGGTAACTTTGGTTAATACAATTATATAATTTTCAGGTGTACATTATAATTTGACGTCTGTATATTCTATTGTGTGTTTACCACCCAAAGTCCAGTTTCCTTTAGCTACCATATATTTGATCCCCATTCTCACTTCACCCTCCACCTACCCTCCTATATTTGATCCCCTTTAACTGTCTACCTAACCCCTCCTCCCTCACCCCCTACCCTCTGATAA